TAACAGTCATATGAAAGGCTGATTTTAGCTTTCTGTGTAAAAAGTGAAGCAACTGTGGAAACATAAAACCTGCATTCTTTTTATTGGCCAACAGGGGGTGACACATCACGTTGTGTTAAGACTTACAGTTGCATTAAAGTGTAGGAGAAAAAGGCCTCAGCTCCTTTGATGTTGACTTCAATAAACACATTTGCGACGGGTTTATGAGGTTTTTGTAAATTATAATCATTTTAGAGGATTGTAATGGATAAAAAAACAGGTAGCTGCTGTTTGACTACAAGCCATCACCCAAAAGTCAGGTTCACAGTCAGATCCATGTTCTTCATACCTGGTTATGAAACACACAGATCATACAGTAAAAACACTCCAGGCTTCAAAACAAGAGCCAACGAGTGACATCAGTGGCTACATCCATCTTTTATACTGCATGTAAAGTAGTACAAATTCAAAATGTTTAATTTTGAGTTAAAATATTCTGCTAACACTGATCTTTGATGTCCATCAGTGATAAAGCTAAATACCAGAAACACCTGTTTGATTCAGTTTGGGTGAACATTAAAGCTCTGCAGAAAGATGCCACACATATAACAAGAGCATCATTTTTAAGGATGCTCGATTAACCTTCAGCCAAGTCAGTGTTGACATATCTCAGTGATTTCACCCACATGTGAGGGCAGTAACCCCAAACATCATCACTGACTGTAAGTACACAGAGAAGCTTGATCGTGTTAACACTGTGTGTTATTAGATTGATGCTGTCTGTGGATGGATTTGGTTTATAAAATGATCTTTTCCTGCAGGTTCTGAACATCATCAAAGCAGCTCGAGGTCTGTGGACGAAGTACCCACTGACAAAGTACGAAAACCGTTTGCTTCTGTTGTCTATGGCTGTGCTTTGATTGATTGATTTGTTTAATTTGAAGTCTCTCATCAATGTGCTGCAGTTTCTGAGCACAGTCAGCTTCAAACACATTTTCTCTGTCTGTAAATCACAGAATGGTCGGAGGCCTCAGCGCGGGGACTTGATAGAGATCTTCCGTGACAGCTATCAGCACTGGGCTGTGTATGTTGGTGATGGCTCTGTGGTTCACTTGGTCGTGCCCAGTAAGTCCCGCACACACTTCCCACAGCTTAACTCCTCCCAGTCTGGAAGAAGAAGCTTAAATGACATCACACATGAAACTGATTCATAGCTCACTCTAAAAGATGAAATCATGAAGCCTTTACTTCTGATCCCAGTTTATCCTTCATGTGTTTGCAGGGTTCAACAGCATCACTGTTATAACTCAGAGGGGGGCTGTGAGGGAGGAGACTCTGAGGGCTGTGGTGGGAAATGACCAGTGGCAAATCAACAACAGCCTGGACTCCACCTATAGACCCCGCCCAGCTGACGTCATTGTTACGGAGGCCAGGAGCTGGGTGGGCAGAACGATAACGTACCACAGCATCAGGAGGAACTGTGAGCACTTTGCCACAGAGCAACGATATGGTGTGTCTGCGTCGCAGCAGGTGGGTGGCACCATGTAGACCCTTCTTCTAAACAGAAAATACAGAATCTGTTTGCAAAGAACAAGATCTGTGCTGCTGGAAGCTCATTTCCTGTTTGACCCTTTATTTGAATTCTACTGATGAATCCCATTTCAGCAGGTTTTGACTGGATTCAGATTAACAGAGAATGCATCTGCAGAAACATAATGTAAAAACATCATCTATCTCCTACTGACTGAACTTTAGCTTTAAAAAATATTCATCACTGTGAATGTAAACAGGAGATCTTCATGTGGATGTTGTGTCTCCTGCCCTTTCACTCCCCTCGTGGTGGCAGATGGCCCCGCCCCTCCCTCAGCCTGGTTCTGTTGGAGGTTTCTTCCTGTTAAAGAGTTTTTAAATGAATGGTAAAGTGTTTTGAAAATTGGGTCAAAAACTCATTATAAAAACCTCATTTAATCAGATATGCATGTAAAACAAAAGCTCAAGCTTTCAAGCTTTTCCAGCACATTACCAAAAAATTAATGCATGTTTCACTTCACGTCACCTCAGTAAGAACAAGTCGGATCATCCAAGGTTGAGTTAAACACTTTTGTTCCCTTTTTGTAAAAACAGAGAAAAATGCCTTATATGCATATAGTGTATAAAGCACATTTCACTTAATTAAGATGTACAAATGTGAACAAAACAACATGTTAGAGTTCCCCATCTCCTGTTGAAAAAACCCCACAAAACAAGAAAACTGCACCAAATAAAACACATTAAGGCCAAGTTAATACGTCTGCTCAGATATCGGTGCTTCTTTCCTATGTGACAGATGTTTGTTTGTTTTTTTTAGTTAAGATGTTAAAGGTAAGATTTTTAAACACATTGCCGTCTGTATTAATGCTGAAGGCCTAGGTTGTCACCTTTAAAGTGTTTGTGCTGATGAGACAGGCGTGAAGAACGGCACTGAGAACAGATGACAAACTCGGTTCAGGTCAACATATCCCTCTACTGCATGACTTTTTAATTTTTGGGGAAAAAAATATTCTCCCTATTTTGGGGGAGTTTTAGGGTCCCTATATATCAATCAAAAAATTTATATCAATCAAAAAAACGTACAAATACTCAAAGATTATTTACTATTTACTCACTTATCGTGTAACTCGAGAGAGCACAAACTCTGCCATTGTCATTTTCCATCAAACACTCATTAAAACATCAGCCTGCAGGCATGTTAGTGCACTCATCCTCGACTGTCCGGGGAGGGGCGGGGTCACACGTTGAAACAGATATGCAGAGGTGCACGGAGCCCAGGCGGAGGAATTTTGCTTTTACACTCATTTTATTTCTCTATTTGATAAGAAACTAGGTCTGAATGGAGTTTTGAATCATGGCAGTCTTCCGTTCATCAGGATGTCTGCTCACTTCCTGTGATGTTTTCTCCCTGCAGGTGCCTCAAGGAGTGGAAGACTTTACCAGAGCGTGGGACAGAGTTACTGATGCAGTTACTAATCCTGCTACAGTTATTCATGCTGTTACTAATCCTGCTACAGCTACTGCAGGCCTGGGACGACTTTGGTAGGCCTAAAGCAAACTTTGTGTGAGACGCTAAAACATTCCTGTCATTACCATAAAATCACACAGTTCTGATCACTGAATCCACAAAGAGATGGACAGAAGAATCATCAGGAAACCTCTGACTTTCTTTTAAAATACAGTAAGTGGAAGATAAATGTGGTTCCTCTGTAACTGCTGCAAAGCCAGAGCTACGATTCGATTACTCCACAGTGCTTTTAATCATGATGTGTTTCCTTACATCACTTCATCCACTGGCCCACAGTATATAAATACTGCATCTCCACAGAGTTTATTGTCATTCTTACATTTTATGACTAACAAATAATAAAACATTTTTTCCCCAAAAGTTGATTCTGTTCATCTGGACGTTTTTTGAAGGAAAAAAAATTCCGTCACTCATCTTCAGTGTCAGCTGACTGCAGGTCAGGTCTTATAACCAGGACATTTGCATAATGACTGAAACTATATAAGAAAACAGTTTCGTGGTGCGATGCATTGACTGCGCTGTCATTGTGTCATTGAGCAAAAATTAAAGGGAAACTTTCAAACTTCCTTTGATTCATGCAGAATATGGACAAAACTCATTTTGAGGTCTATTTTCAAACGAGTGATATTAGGCACAGACTCTAAAACGTCTTTTCCTCATGTGTTTATATTCATACTGACACACTTTCAGTCACAGAATTGACAGAATAGTGTCATCAATCAGTTCATTCAATCGTTTTAATTAGCAGTAATCAGCCCCACAGAGAGGAGCTGTATGAACTGATGACATGTGAAACGGGTCAATCAGCTGTTTGCTTAATTTGAATTTCTGTGAAGTCTTTGAAAAAATACAAGATTCATCAGAAATGTAATGATGTCACATAATTTGAAAATAAAAAAAAACTTTGAGGCCAAAATTTATCTGAATATAAAACTTATAAAAAGAAAAATCTGCAGCTGACATCCATCCATCCATTCGCTTATCCTTTTCAGGGTCGCGGGGGGCGCTGGAGCCTATCCCAGCTGTCATAGGGCGAGAGGCGGGTACACCCTGGACAGGTCGCCAGTCTGTCGCAGGGGCAACACACAGGGACAGACAACCATTCACACTCACATTCACACCTAGTGACAATTTGGATTATCCAATTAACCTATCCCCACAAGCTGCATGTCTTTGGACGGTGGGAGGGAGCTGGAGTACCCGGAGAGAACCCACGCAAACACGGGGAGAACATGCAAACTCCACACAGAAAGACCTGATGTTGGAGTTGAACTCAGGACCTTTTTGCTGTGCGGCAACAGTGCTGACCACCGTGCCACTGCAGCTGACAGATTTTGTAAAAGTACTACTTTAGTAACACTACAACAACAAATTGTTTTCATTCAGGTTTCTGAAAAACAGGAGAAACTTTCAGGGGAAGGAAGACAAAAACGATTTCTCTCCACAAATTTCAACTTTTGTTGCAGGATCTTTAAAACATGAAACACAGTTCTGATACTTTCCTGCAAAACAACAAAGCACATCAGTTCCACTTTCACTGGTTCCACTCGTCATTTTTGTAATGATGTAATGATGATAATCGTCTCTTCTACAACAAGTGAGAAATGTGTTCCTTTGGTTCTCTGTATTAAACCTGAATTATTGAGATTTTTATAAAGTGTCTGATGAAGTAAAACGAGGCCGTCTGCATGACCGTGGCAGATTCATCTCAGTTCACTTACTCAAAAAGACTTAATCCATCCATTAGTTCTCCAGTGTCCTTTTGTTCA